TCTCAGATCTTGTCAGTAGTGGTTGTTAACACTTTGAATGGTAAAGGTTAGACATAATCTCAGATCTTGTCAGTAGTGGTTGTTAACCCTTTGAATGGTAAAGGTTAGACATAATCTCAGATCTTGTCAGTAGTGGTTGTTAACCCTTTGAATGGTAAAGGTTAGACATAATCTCAGATCTTGTCAGTAGTGGTTGTTAACCCTTTCAATGGTAAAGGTTAGACATAATCTCAGATCTTGTCAGTAGTGGTTGTTAACCCTTTGAATGGTAAAGGTTAGACATAATCTCAGATCTTGTCAGTAGTGGTTGTTAACCCTTTCAATGGTAAAGGTTAGACATAATCTCAGATCTTGTCAGTAGTGGTTGTTAACCCTTTGAATGGTAAAGGTTAGACATAATCTCAGATCTTGTCAGTAATGGTTGTTAACCCTTTCAATGCAAACAAAATTATTCAAAGCATGTATTTAAGTATTGTAAAATTAAGTCTTTTGATTTAAAATTAACAAAAAAAGTCTAAATCTATAAAAACATAAAAGTGTAAAAAATATTGCTCCAAAATTTTGTGGGAAAAATTATGGTGTTCAAAGGGTTAAAGGAAGAGCTGTCATTCCCTGGGATCATACCCACCAAGTTTGAAACATAATTCAATTATTTATCTATTCACCATCAGATGAGAAAATTATTCTATTTTAAAGAGAAATCTGTGGAATAAATTTTGTAATTTTTTTTTTATTTCGACCCAACTAGACAAAATTTACAATGTTCTGTCCATGAAATCCTGCATTATGAGCAAAATAATAACAGGACAAACGAAGATTTAGGATTCAATGAATGAGAAAGTAGTTTTCAGGGATTTTTATGTTTAATAATTTTGAAGAAGTAAGATTGGTATACTGACATATAAAATGAGTATAATAATTGAAGACTTTAGCTGCAGACATTCGATCTGTAGTAAAACAGAAAATTCATAATCGGCCTTATTAAAAAAATATTGAACAATATGAAAACAATTATGCAGGTTTATTGTGTGAAAACAGACAAAAGTTGACTTTGCCACTCAGAGGGTTAAATTCAATTGATTTGAGCAATCATTCATTTATATCTGGTTTACTGCAGTATGCATTAATAATTTCAAGGCTTGCTTGAATAAACAAATAAAACATGTAATTATCATGAGACAAGTTGTAATAGATGTTTTATGTCAAGGGCCATTAGAATTAGTAAATTTCTCCAAACATGTTTTGTATTTCACCATAATGGACAAAAACAAATCAATGCCTCGGGTACAAAGGATAACATGTTCTGTTCTTAGTTTATTTGATTTCTGAGAAAGAAGGAACAACCTATCAGAGACAGTGTAAAAATTTCCACTTTGAATTTTAATGTTAAACTGTAGAAGAAAAAAAGACATCAGCAAAAATGGTTATTCACAGTGACAATAAGAATTCAAACCAGTCAGATTGGAAGCAGTTGAAGGTATATCTAACTGATTCAAATTCTAATCTGAGTTCTAATTTGAGTTCTAATTCCCTCTGATTACATGTACCTCCCTCCCTCACAAAATAAAACATAGTTAAACTCTGGTGACCTTGCCCTTTGTTATATAATATAATTCCCTTTATTATAGTTTGTTTCAATATAAATATGCATTGTCATAATTAATTTTGAATATAAACAAGTTTTGGGGTTGAACCAACAGTGGGGAATCAGTCTACCGAATGTCCTTAAAAGATGTAAATATCTTACAAAAACATTGGTGCCTTATTTGTTTAATTATTTTAAGGAACATAATTTCCAGCTTTATTCAAAGTAATTCAGATATTTT